GTGGTATAACGTTAATCTCGAAAATTCGATGAAGAATGGACATATGACCATTCGTTGGGTATTATTTGCTCAGTTCTTGTTTCCTATTTGGCGTACTTCCCAGCTGGCTTCTGCTTTGCTCTTATTTGTATTGTGGCCATTTATTCAATTGCCTTTGATTTGTTTATACTTACTTTTTGCTCATTTTTTTAACTGTCGCCCTTTTTCGCTGTCATAAGTTAGTTTTTTTAGAAATTGAGTCTATTATTTACTTCTTTTATACGCTCAGTTTTTTATATTTTCCTTCTGCTTGATTTGCCCTAGCTATATTACCCCTACTACCAGGGGTTCCATATTACTGGGCGGATGTTTATAAGGAACCCCTTACCCCAAAGTGTTTTGTTTTTCTCTGAGCACACTGGTATTTTCTCAACTAACTACACGTATGCCTGTTTCTTGTTGAAAGACGTTAACTTCTCGCGATAGATCCTACTGCTAGGAACGGCGATTACTAGCAGGTATTCTGGTTAGGCAACATTAATGTCTGATCTGATAAGTGACGGAGGATTACGGGCAGTATGTTGTCTCCGTTGTCTCTGTGTCGCGCGCCGTCTGATCGGCACTTTTAGCATTTTTTCCCAGCCATCCTTTTTTTCCGAGAATATTCGTGATATTACATATCACATAACGGTTCGAATGGAGGAATTACTCCATGATAAAAGAGCACCCCCTAATACGTTGTTTTATGGGCCTTACCGAAAGCCTTTTGGCCATTCGACGTCCGGATCGGTGACCCAGTCCCGTCTCGCAAATGGCAATGTACCAGTTAAGAAATCTATAAATTAGAGTTGGCGGCAACAGTCTATTAAAGCTCTCACCAAGGAAACCAGAAAGGCCAGAATTCTGTAAAGCCTAGCCCGTGGTAACGTTAGTATTGATTTTGTTTTTGAATTATTATCTTTTTTAAATTATTTATGTCATTATTGCTTATTTTTACTTATATTTATTCATCGTAGTTCTGTCGTTGCTACAAATTATTTCCTTAAAGTAATTTTATTTATTATTTTCCTTGCCTGCGCTCCCGTAATGCCTCATCCATATAACCTCTATAATCACAGGCCCCTATTAAAGAATCTTTTTTTGGGGAAGGGTTGGTTTCCCTGGCAAACCCTATGATAGAATGTTACCGAGTTGACAAATGCATTTGAGTAGGTGAAGAGCAATTGATGGGCCGAAGTTTTTTTTCCTTAAAATGGAGCTTGTATGATCTTTGATCGAGAATCTACCATGGATACCCACCCCCGGTTGTTAAGAAGAAATATCGAAGAAACTTCACATATTGCGTCTTCCCGGAGGAAACTCAACTGTCTAGTTGGAAAGGTAGGACTTGCAGCATCGCGATGAATTCATGTACATGCTTTTTTCACTCGTGACATCCATGTCTGGGCTATTAAAACAAATCTGTTCTCTCAAATCACCGTAGGTAGAGAAAAACGGCAATCAAGTAACCTCTAGATCCCCTTCCCCTTCTGTGCCCGATACCTTAGAGTTCTAAAGGCTAAAAATAAAACTTCTACTCCACTGTTTAGCGCCGCAATGACGCTAACAAAAATAACTAGCTACCTATTGCGAAATTTGAAAACCGAATTGAGAGAAAGTGTTTCAGTTACTGAGACTTACGGAGGTAGCGTAGCGGAGAGTTTTGCCGTCAATAACCAGACCAACAGCCTCATCGGCCTCGCCGGGATGTTTTCGGTTGTGTAGACGTAAACCGTCGTTGGCAACGCTAGCATGCCGGTGTTGAATCAGCTCTAGTTTCGGTAAAGCACCTGCGCCAAGGCCACCCTCCACATCCTCATCGCTCTCCGAGCTGGAGTAGTCAGTGGAAGAGGAAGGTTCTTCAAAGCTCGTATCGGGCCTCTTGTTCTTGCTGGAGGTGGTGGAGATTCGGAAGCTGGAGGGCCAGTGCCATCGCCGTCGCCTCTTCTTCTCTTTCAACCGCATCTCCATGCCCTCCTTTTGCACGTAAATGGCACGAGCCACGTCCGCCATGCTTTTACCGTCAGTCAGACGAATAATCGTCAGGCCGGGCGGAAAGTGTCCAGCCGCCTGGCTCACCTGGACCGCTGTCTCTTCCTTATCACCCGTCAGAACCCAGACCTTAAGAAGAAGAAGACTGATAAAAATTATGCATAATTAATTGATAATTAATTAAATATTTGGTAGGGCCGTTATTAGAGGTCCTGTTTGCATTTGCCTTATAACAGTAACCTACTT